AAAAAAAAAAAAAAGAGAGCTTTGTTTCTTTTGAATATATGAACTGTTTTTCTTGAATTTTTAATTTTGGTGCTCAATATTGTTCGCAATTTGAGTAATTGTGTGATTGATTGGTTGGTTTGGGCAAGGTATTGGACGTCAATGGGTCCTCTGACGCTAGCAGTGGATTCAAAAAGCTGTTCAGGAACTTCATCAGGTAAACAATTTTCTCAATTTCTGCTTATATATGAACAATATATACAAATATATCTTATCACTCGTACCATCAGTATTTGTGAAGCAACACGTTATTCAACAATACATAGCTTGAGATAAATTGTGGTGTTTCTACGAAGACCCCAATTTGCACTTGTATTTACGGTTGATGTTACCCATTTCTGGGTGTGATATCTTCTTGACATTGTTGAATGTTTAAGCTTTACTACTCACTACGTGTGAAATAAATTACTTAGAGGTTTATTTTGTAAGTTGGAAACGTTTAGAGCCCTCTAATATTGGATTTGTAAAGTCCATTTTTTTTCAGTAGGAAGTAGCCTTTTTTTAAAAATTTCTCTGAAAATTATAATTAGGAACTCCTATAAAACAGTTTCTGTAACCTCTTTTCAAGTCAACATGGATTGAGCATCACATTTCATAAATCAATTTTCTCAATTGTGTATCAGTTCTCCAGAAGTTTAGACAATAATCTACCTAGGCTCTTTGTCTTGATGATGCATAATTTTATTTATGTTGCCTTGGAATTTTATATTTGTATGTTACTGCTTTTTATTAAAATAAAATAAAATAAAATAAAGGATATGGTTTTGCAGATGAATATAGCAAGAAAACGCAATATGCTCCTATAGGAACACGGAAGTCTTTTGCATCAGTCAGCTTGCATGAAGATAAGCCATTTGATTTCTTACGCACTTTATTTGGTACGTTTAATAGTTACAATTGAAGATATTGATTAATGTGGAAGTTACTTGTTTATTAAATTCTAGGCTGCAGTTCATTAAGCATCATAATTAAGTCCAGTTCTTTGAGTTGATGAATGCATTGAGGGACTGCTAATCTTTGAAGATTTAATGTAGAGTAAAGATAAGTTTTGAAAGTAGGTTATTCTCTCTCTCTCTCTCTCTCTCTCTCTCTCTCTCTCTCAAATCATCATTGGATGTGCAATACTCCCTTTAGCTTTATCATGTATATTTTACTTACAAAAATGTGTAATAGAGCTTATAGGCTTTGTTACAAGCTTTTGGTTAGATGGAGCCAGGGGCGAGAGCAATATCATCTATCTCTTGGATTATGTTTGGCCCATGATCATTAAATACTGCATTCCTGCTTTAACTCATATGGATGGATTTTGCAGAGGGTGTTATAGCAGGAGGTACAGCTGGTGTTGTTGTTGAAACAGCTCTATACCCCATTGATACTATAAAGACAAGACTGCAGGCAGGTTAACTATGCAAATGCGTTCTAGTTTATTCATGTGTTTAAAATTTGATGTGTTTGCACCTCTGGTTCTCTGGCCTGTTGATTATGGTTAATCTTCTTATTTGATAGAAACAGCTACAATAGCTCAGGAAATCATTTACTAGATTTCTTGTTAGTTTATTCTGGTATCCAGTTTTTAGGTCTTGAGCACTCAGTTGTTTTATTTATTTATCCTTGTTCGCATTTGTTTAGTATCTGCATGTTGCAGAAGTTGTCTGTCTAGAAGCCCATGAAGGGTGCATCCTGTACTAGCTTCTTTGTATACTTTTCATCTTTGTTTTGTCGATCAAGTTATTTATGAATACTGTTGAACTTTGGGACAGGCTGCTCGTGGTGGAGGGAAAATAGTCTTGAAGGGCCTTTATTCTGGGTTAGCTGGAAATCTCGCTGGTGTCTTACCGTAAGTACCCTCTGAATATGGGGTTAAGTGATTTAACACCAATTGGAATCATGCATGTTTATTGTAATGGCTCCGTTTGTATGCCATGAACATGGGTAGTGGAGAGCAATTAATGTTTCAGATAATTTTATTAGTTTATGATTGTTTGGGACTTTCATGAACACATATCTACTGGTCTAGGTATTGTCAATATATGGGGCTATAATCGTTTGTTGTCATATTTTTCTGGATTAAGTTGAGTTCCAAATTTTGGCTTACCAGGCCAATTTACACAAGCTATTGCAGCATGCTTTCAATATCACAATTTTTTTTTTTCTCTTCCTTTCATTTTTCATGCACTTATTTTAGTAAATTCTATTTAGTATTAATGTTGTGGGTTTTGACCCAAATAAACTTTATGGATTGGGAAATCTAAATTAGACTGATGGAGATCTTTTTCTAAATTAGTTCCTTCTATTTATGCGGATGTTTGCATTTTAAGATATGTGCGATCATCCTCTCTGGCCCTACCCTCCAATCCAAAATTTCAGCTGCTGGGATTCTACTTTTACTTGGCTATAATAAGCTCATCATGTATTCTGGATCACCCTATAAGTTATTTATTTGAATATGTTTGAGCAATGTAATTTGTGATT